AGGACCATAGGCTGCTTAGTCACTCTTGCTTAGTTTAAGTTATTAGTTAAGACCTTATGTTATGGTCAATAAACCATTTGTTTGTACTTGATTTATTGGGAGGTTCCCACAGGTTGTTAATTTCATTTCGGGATAGGTGCCTATTTTAGTTTTCTTCCATTCGTTGAGTTTTGCCTAGTTTAATAATAAAATTGCCTCGTGAGGTGGCCCACGATTGTTGTTGATTGATATTCTATCTAATTGATGTATTGTTGAATTGATGAAAAGTGGAACTTGATTTTTTTTTATATCTTTGTTGCATAGGGAGTTGGCATGATGTATTTTGGGTTAAGTTTAATTAGTTGAGTAGTTAACGTGACCTAGAAGTGTGTGGGAAATTCAGGGGCGTTACAATTGGTATCAGAGCGGAGTTGTTCCTGTAGACTGTCCTAGAATCTAGGTCGTTAGTGTATGGTCCTTGTCAGTCTCCTCGTCAGCACCAGGTACGCTTCCTAGTGCTGTTGTTCGATCATGAATGTTTTACATTGCTTATGGTTGAGATATTATTATTGACTGATATTAGATAGGTCGGCGTGTTTCCCTTGTCCATTATATAGACTTTGCTTGAACTTTGCACTTGTGTTGTGCCTCGGTTAGTGCGTTAATGACCTTGGTGCTCTGTTCTCTGTTCCTTTAGACAATGGCTTTTCGACGGAACACGAGAGCTCATAACTACGAGGATCCGAATCCTAGGGGTGAGGAAGCAGCGGATCCAAATGTTCCCTCGGCAGTTCCTAGAGGGGTAGCACCCCCGATTCCTCAGGCAGCACCTCATGGAGTTCCCTAGGTGAATCCCCAGGTGGCGTTACTAGCTGAGGCATTGCAAGTATTGTTGAATAATGCGAATGGAGTCGGTGGAGCTCAAGTGCAGCAGCCTCGCCGGGCACAAATTCAGCAAGAGGAGGTTCAGTTTATCAGGGATTTCAGACGCTTTGGGCCACCCGTTTTCAACGGGGTGAGTGAGAGGCCTACTGCAGCCGAGGAATGGGTCAGGGAGTTGGAAGCCTTTTATGTGTATTTGGGATGCTCCGACGATTTTAAGGTCCAGGGAGCAATGTTTATGCTTCGGGGGGAAGCAGTAAATTGGTGGGAGTCGGTGGCGGCAGTAGAGGATCACGCCAACGTACCCGTCACATGGGCAAGATTTAAGGACCTACTCTATGAGTACCATTTCCCCGTGACTGTCAGAAATGAAAAACGGGCAGAGTTTCTCCGTCTCACTCAAGGAAGCCTAACTGTGGCCCAGTACGAGAGGAAGTTCACTGAGCTGTCCCGTTTTGGAATGCAGTACTGAACCAATCTATCCACTGGGCAACGAGGAGGATTGGGTTTTGCCGGATGACTTTATCGAACACACCATCGAGCCTCCGAAGTTCGTTCCGAGAGTTGGACGACGGCAAACTATAAGGATACCGTCAACCGGAGAGCCGCAACAAGTTCATAAGTGCAGTAGGAGTGGGATCCAAGGTCACAATCGAAAGACTTGCCGTCAATCGTTACGAACTACGGAGATTTAATTGCATGTATTTTGTTTCATTTTGTGTTGTAGTATCTTATGTTAGATAGCATAATGTTAGATATTAGATATCGGGCGATATTTCGGGATTAATTCGGGCCAAATTGTCACAATTTTTGGGGAGGATAATTCCAGCGATGCAATACTGTACGCTGGAAAATTTCTCGGGCGAAAATCTCATTCGGGCGAGAAATTATCCAGCGTATAACATGTATTGCGCTGAATTGGGGCAAAAGATGACATTATCCGGGTCAAATTTCACGCGAAATGGTCTTTAATTCGCCCGAGAAATATTACAGCAATTTAGTAATGCATTCTTGAAAATTACTCGGTCCAAAATTCCACGACTTCGGTTGTAAAAAAGCTTATAATCAATTGTAACACTAATTATAGTCGCGATGTATTCGAAGACATAAAATTACAAATTATCCATCAACTATGAAGACATAAATAAACAAGTTTGCACGATGTATTCAAATCTGAAAATTGACATGTTCGCCCATAATTCAATTGCAAATTTTTCCCTAAAAAAACTAATTTTGTCTTGCGTTAAGGTGGTTATATCGGACCCAGTTGCATCATATTCAAAATATTTAACACAGAAAATCCCGCAATCACCAAAGCCAACCTGTTGCGGCGCCGACGTTACATGACGAATGCGCCATGGTAGGTTTGGTAAGGTCCGCTTCTGTACCATAACACCAGCCCTGTGCCTCAATGCTGGGAGGACGACACTCATGGGCTTCAACTCGGCCTCCATAACCGACTACGGGGTGTTCGCCCTCAGTGAATCCCACACGATGATCTCGCCATCTTCCATATCGATGCAAACCATAATCCAATGGTGTCCACCGATGTTGAACAGTAGGTAGACAACATCCAAACCAAGCCACCGCTTCTGGTAGTCTGTGTGTGTCCCGTCTATGTAGTTAAGGATGGTTTTATATTTCTCGGTCCAATTGTATTCCGCTGCAACTATGGCTGGCACTGCGTTCGGGGCTACCAAACGTTCGTACAATCCGTCGGTTTGTCGAAATAAGTTCTGTAATTGATGGCGAAGACATGTTAGAACATAAATTACTATGAATATACGCGGCTTATGAGAATTATATATTACGTACCACAAGGACTATGTCACCGATGGTGAACTTTCGACAGCATAGGTCTGGCCGTTGCTCAAGCTTATTCCACGTGAACATGACCAGTGAATCCACCACCTATATAGGGTTACCATTGTTAGCAAATAACGGTAGCATAAATGAGGGTTTCGACCTCGTACCTCACTCGTCAACCAGTTATCCGATGTGAGAAGGCCACGAAACCACGTCTTTCCTCGATCACCGTAACATGACTTTCTGAAAGAATGGTCAGTATTCGAGTTTGTCATCCATGCATGAAACTTCTCGACCTGATTGGGGGGGACCTACACGAGTGGATCATACCGAGTAACCTTCTTTCGTTTCCCGTCCACCAGAACTTGGAACGAACCCCGAAGCTTCCATGGGAGCTTCCTCTTTCGCGACCTTCGTTGAGGTTTAGGTCGTTCAATCACTGCGAGAGATGTACTACATCCGACTCCACCCGTGATACACCAGATGTATTCTCGACAGTCTGAGATTGAACATTTCTCGGTTTTTCCAAACCCGAGTCGGTGAAATCATCTGCATGTTGGTCCTGCAGAAAATATGTTAAAAGCCGAAGTGCTTTATTAAAAGGTCGACTACCAAGAATAAATACCTCGTCTCCGGACGACTCGGAGTACTGTGAATCTATTATGATACGTTCAACCGCTGTGCACTCGCCGAGACAATCTTGAAGAGGGGCATTCTCGGCACGAGCATGTTCGCCTTGTGATGCATGCAAGCTTTGATCGCCATTCGCATCTTCCTGTACGTTCTCTTCATGCACGTCTTGCTTGCACAACAAGTCACGTGCATGTTGCTCCAAATATGACACATGCAGACCTCATTATTACCGGATTAAGACTTATAATTTGAAATGGAAAAGTAATAAAATGTACCCCTCGTTCTGGTGTGTAATAGCCACCCGATGTAGCTTCCAATTCAGCTTGCTCCCCCTCGTGATCACAATGAGGTGATTCTCTCTCATACACGCCTAAATCCGAAGGATCAATGTTCATGTCATCGGTAGATTCTTTAAAACCATCACCACCACTGGGTCCATTACCGCGTCCATCGTCATCGAGCCCATCCAATCCGTCACTCCGTCTGTCACCCGATCCAGTCCGTCTCATGTCGTTGGGATCTACAGGTAAACCCTAGAAAATGTACTGACATGTTAATAAAAAACAAATATTCAATCGTTCGTTAATTATTATAAATGACAAAATACAGTACCTTAGCTATTCGGCGAAGAAATTTTCGAATGGATTTCAATTGAGCCTGCATACTACCCATCCGATCGTCCATACGCGTGTCCATGCGCTTCAAACGTTTTTCCACTCTCCTCAGACGCACACTGGACATGCGTCCCTTCTTGTCACTCTAACTCCTCTTTGTCTCATTCTCCTCAACCTCCACATCGATGTCATCAACCTTCTCCCCACTCTTATCCTCCTCATTCGCCTTCTCTTTCACACCCTGATCAACATTCACACCTCATCCCCCAGCGTCGTTCTCATTTCCTCCGTGTGCTATCGATGGTTCAGCAACATCGCTTCCATGCAAACCTTCGACCATAACTTCGTTGTCCTCCGCTTCGGGTGGGTCGAAGGGCCTATTAAGGAAGTTCGTCTCCGCATCGGTTGGATTTAATGTTAGCGTTCTTGCCTACAGAAACGGTAAGTTGTCGATGGCTTGAACATGAGAACTAATTAATAAATAGTTATAACGTAAATTCAACTTAGAGTAGAAGATCGAAAAATCTCTCTGGCCAGCACGTGATATGCAGTCGAATGGCCACACCTCCACCGGAGAATGCGTGGCACGGCGTCCTGACTTACTATAGTCGCAACACGTCCCGAAAGAGAAGATATAGTCTCGTATGCCCACACCTGTACAAATACACGATGGATGTAATAAACCACAACATAGAAAAAAAACAGCGAATAATAGAGTTTTTATGTCCGTACCTGGAACACCCATGGAAAACCATGGAGACTATATGATTTCCTCAATCCTCCCTCCTTCGACTTCTTGGATGCGCCACGCTGCAGACTATAGATTGTTTTCTCGAACGACAACAATGCCCAATCGTGGTTGCAGCAGGCTTCCCAATCATCCACTATTCCCAACAGTACTAACAGTACTAACTCTACGAAGTACACTATTGACACCTTAACTGCATCAAAGTCATCCTCGAACCAAATTGATGTATACATCTTCTCCAACTCACTCAGCAACAGGTCCGTGCTATTATTGAAGTATAGGGTCCTAAGTCTTTGAGGATACGTGATTTTCCTAACTGGACTCCTATAATACTTTAGACCGCTAATGATGTCAAACTCTCTCCGACCGAACGACACCTTAGTCCAAAAAAGGTTGAAGCTAATAGTGTCTGGCGTACTCTCTTCAACCTCCCTAAGCAAAACACTATGTATCAGGGGCCCGTTAAATACAAGGTCCACATCAAGGAGGTGGCCGAAGACAGTTTTCCTAAACATAGCAAGCTGTTTTGGGGTCATTTTTGTCTTGATATCATTGCTTGTTTTTGCTATATGCGATAGACAAGTTAGGTTGGTAGAGGCGTAGGTTGCAGGATCGATTTTAGGAATCATTTTACAACACCTGGACGGAGAGTCAAGAATAAAAACAACACAATAATGAGAAAGAACCCAGAAAGAACCAAGTAAGCAGTTGACATATAAAAAAAAAACCAATTTTGTTCACGTGCTGATAAATTTCTTGGGGTCGACCTCGGGCGAAATCGGTCCCGAGAATTAAAACAAAAAAATCAATACTGTACACTTCCTCGGGTCTAAATTCGGGCGAAATCATCCCCGAGAATTAATTTGCAAACAAAAAAATTCTCGGGGATTTTCGGGCGACGTGTTTCATGAAGAACCTTTAAAAAAATGGAAACCTCGGTCTTCCTCGCCCGAATTCGTCCCAGGAATTTTTCGAGCAAACAAAACCCCAATTAATAAATTTGAATTCACCAGTTTCTTACCCCATTTCGCTCGAAATCGCCCCGATTCTTCACCTTCTTCAACCTAAAACCACTTCAAACCCAACATTTACAGATCCATAACCCTTCTAACCGTAACAGATAACGACGATGAGCATAAAAACCTTTCAATCGATGAAAACTAAATCCTAAAAACAATGAAATCGATGATAATAGAAAATGAAATTCTTACATGCTAAAATCGACAAACCCTAACTACACAAACTAACGAAATCAACTTACCTCCAATATTGAATGCCAATAGCGAGGAAGAGAGCTTTTTAGTCAGCTTTAGTACTTGAATAGCGGAAGAAACGGTGAAGAAAAAACGGAAAAGGAGAGGAAGAAGAGAAAGAGGGGGAAACGGGGGAGGCCAACGGTTGTTTTTGAGGCAAGGGTAAATATGTAATTTCGTTTAAGTTTAATTTAACTAAAATAATAGAATGAGTCATCCAAAACATTTATTTGAAGGTGGGTTATTTGAGCAAGAAATTCTTTTGAGAGGGTCATTTGAGTCAATATCCTCAGTTTATTAAGGGGTCAAAGAGTATTGATCTCTGCATCATGAATATGTTGTTTATAATTTATATGAGTTGTTATCATAGACACATGATATGCCGTGGGCTTCTATTTTGTTCAACAATAATGACGAATGGTTGTTTTTTTGCTTTAGGAATTTACATCATCAACCTTGCTAAGACATGGGAGAAACTCCAATTGGCTGCCAGAGTAATTGTGGCTATTGAGAATCCTCAAAGATATCATTGTCCAGTCTGCTAGGCCTTATGGTCAGAGAGCCGTTTTGAAGCTTGCTCAATACACTGGTGCGAGCATTCACCAACCAGCTTCAGACCTCATTCAATGAACCACGACTTCTGATACTTACTGATTCTAGAACTGATCATCAGGTGCTTAAACCTATTAAGAGATTAATAATAGTTTGCAGTTATAAGTTTTAGTATAGGATGTCTGTTTTGGCTTCTGGTGAGGATGGTTCTGCAGATGCGTGGAACAATTCATGCTGGGCACAAGTGGGACGTGATGGTAAATTCAGAATTGTATCTTCTATTTGAACTTCAAAAGCCACATTCTGACATGAAATTTGAAATTAACACTCGGATTGTTTGAACTTAAAATTAAACCAGAGGCTTGGAATGAATGAATGCATGTGTTCTTGTGCAGGTGGATTTATTTTTCTATCGGGAGCCTGAGGAAGCTAAGGAGCAAGAAGAAGAAGAGGCTGTTGCGCCTCCAGATTATGGCATTGCAGATTTCGGAGCTGCTCCGCTTGTTGCTTCAGATCAATGGGCTGGACAGGTTCCTGATGCTCAGTGGGGTGCTCCTGATGTGGTTCCAGCTCCTGTTGCTCCACCCATCCAGTGGTTCGAGCAAGGTTGAGTCCGAGTTACTTTGGCTTAATTAGTTAGCACCCAACACATCCATCCATACAGTTACCTCGTAGTTTGCTATTGCATAGATTTTGTGTTTTAGAAACATTGACCAGGAGTTGTAAGATGCAATGCAAAGCAGTTACAGTTAGGATGGTTGTGTTTTAAGATTTTCGTTATATGCGTGTTGTGGTCCTACCTCTCATTTCTTTCAATGCCGTTTGGTTTTTTTTCAGTTGCAGCAGACGGATGGGATGCAGCACCAGCACCAGCGCCAGCACCAGCGCCAGCAGTTGAAGGTGGTGCACCTCCGGCTTCCGGTTGGTTCTGAGTGAAGGTTCCCATAGAGCTTTTTTCGGTTTTCTTTTGTGGCTACAAAATTGGCTTGTATTTTCTTTCCTAGTCCAGTTTTGGATGATGAGATTGAAATTTTTATATAATTCATTTACTTCGTTTTCTCTGACCGCTTTTTCAAATTTATCATTTTTCATATATCGAATGGGAGTGTTTTGAAATTGTCTTGTCCTGCATCCACCTTCTGTACATGCTTCAATAGAAATTAAATAAGGGTAGATTGATAGGATATAAACCTCTGGTAACATGTCCACCGACCACACTTATTTTATTATTAACAAACATGTAATAGGGAGAGTGGATGGGAATAAGTTCACAAGCTTAGAGATGAAACAGAACATTGAGATTGTAAGGCCTGATGCTCTCAGAACTCCCATTCCATAGAAACCGAGCAAATAATTGGTTGGCCTTTTCAGAGGGATGGCTGCCATCAAAAAATAAATACTCATTGGGGTTCCCACACAACTCGTACTCTTGTCCATTCCTTCCTCCACAACTACCGTATCCTCTAAATGGTCCACTTCCACAACATGCTATCTTTCCTTCCTTGAAACCTGAGAGGAAATGGAAATCACAGAACTAAATCCACAGAAATCATGCTATAACATAAAGTGTACGTATTAGTTGTACTTTCTCTCCATGTTAAGTATCTTTTTTTAGATTTTTTTTTTTAAGTAATTGGTGAATATTTTGATGATTCTATATAACTATTATGTTTAGTAATACTTGAATTTGTATAATTTTTTAATTAGAATTGAGGCTTGTATTTCATATCGCCTTGAGATTCGGGGGCGTCTTTAGCCTTTTAAAACATTGCTTTCTCTTACCATATTTAGCAGGGTTGTTTGTTACTTCGACGGCGGTGGCGTAAAAGTCGGCATAAGAATAAACAAATCCTTCAAGTTTCTTTCCAAGCTGTAGGAGAGTTTTGGAAAGATGTTTGTTGTGTAGTTTTACAAGTTGTGTGATCTCTTCCGAGCATTCATCTTTGCCTTGTAACAAAACTGCCTTCACTACGGGGACACACACAACCTACAGACCCAACACCTAGAAATGCGAATTTTCTTCCTCCATTCTTATGGATTCCCTGTAGAACAAATCAATTCATATCAGAGAGAAGAAAAAAAGAATACTTTATACAGTTTAAAGATGTTTGTTAACTATATGTTAAGTAACAATCTATATATATGAAGACTTTTTTATATAACGGGAAGTTGGAGTTTTGCTCTCCAACACCCAGGACGCCTGCCCCAAGGTTCAGAAGTGAGAGACATCAAAGTCTTTTTGTATTAAGCTCATTAGAAGGTTCAAATTTAGATCTTTTAGCCAATATAATTGAGTTGAAAGTATTTGTTTGGGTATTTACTTTGATGACAGTGTTAAGTTTCCAATGACCAAGTCAACATATTGTTGTGGAGAGTGGGATCGGAAGAGGCTGGAATTTGTAGTGAAAGGAACGATATAATCGTTGCTTCCAATGCTGATAAAATAAACAGCTCTTGATAGTAATGCTTTTGCTCCTGCATGTCCAAGCTCCTCCTTTATAATCTTTGCCACTTTGTTGAAGTAACTCAACTGGGTTTTCAGGTCAATTACCTTCCAACAAAACAAAACAAACACACATATAAAGCTGAAGGAACTTATTGGACCCTATTTGAAAACCGTATGATAGAAGATCCATTAGAGTCCAACAATTTTTCGTTGAACCGTCAAAGCTGGTTTTTTCGTATGATCAACCACACTGGGATTGAGACACGGTCCAGACTCCCACGGGAGACAGTCGTAGGGAATCTTGGACAATGGGTGAAAGCCCGATCCATAAACAATAAGCAGATTACTTACAAATCCTTGATTGGTGTTAAGTAAAGCACCTGCTCCTGCTGATGCGAAGTTCACTCCATGAAGGTAAAATTTGTTCTTAGGATTAAGATATGGATGGATTAATGGCAAGTTATCATATTTAGCTGCAAACAAAAAAGTTTGATCAGTCAATGATTTATGTAATTTGGTAACTCATTCATTTAATTACCAATGAAATCAGGAATCAATCTGCCATCAGAAAATCGCCCAGTTGGAGATCTGAAGAAGGTTTCTCCATATGGGAAGAAATTTGCTTGAAAAGTGGTAGAGGTGTTGATGTAGTTATTGTTTCCAGCATCAAAAAGGGAATCCCCAAAGATGAACAAAGCTACATGTTTTGGCAGTGGCTTCAGATCACCACCTCTGCAACAGTGTAGAGACAGAAAACTAGCTATGAAAAAGATAAAAAAAGATGAAGATAACCATGAACTTGCCATCTCAATTTACTTGGATGGATCACTTCTTCTTTGACTTTATAGTGAAGTTAGAATGCAGTTGCTTGAGCTACAAGTTAATGATTATATAATCGATTTGATGGTGATAATATATAATATGAAGAACCCAAGAAAGATGAAACCATGAACTTGCCATCTCAATTACTTGGATGGATCACTTCAAATGATTCAAAGACCAGAAATAATTAGCTTGTTTGAATGGATCATACAACACTTATGTTTATTATGTTAAAATAAAGTTTTAGTTCATAATATTGTAAGGAGGAATAGTCGTTCGAGAGAAAAATGTTGGATTTGTATGACAATCTACTATAAGTTTAATATTTGAACATTTTACTATCGTCAAATAGTTTTTTAACATTTAAAACTCTCTTTAATAGATACCGAACTTTCAATTTTGTAGCCAACATAAGCTTAGTTTAACGGTTAAGATATGTTGTTCCTTCTTTGATCACTCTGAG